GATCACCTTGGCTCCGGTCCTCTCCAGGGATCGGCGTCGTCACTGACGGGAGCCCCAACGCCTGCATCAACAGGTCGTCGTGAGTGCTGAGGTTCCTGGAGGAATCCTCAAACAGCTTCCCCTGATCCTTCCTCATCAACTTGAGGTCGCTTGCGTAGAGGTCTGGGAGCTCACCGCCCACGTAGTAGGCTGAGCCTCCGATCGGCGCGACGAGGAAGATCAGCATGTAGCGGGGGCGCTGGCTTTCCCTGTCGCCAAAGTAGACCCAGTGCGTGGGGGACTCGTCCACTTCTCTCCAGTCCCAAGTACCGGAGCCTCCCCACTGTACCGCGGTAAACTTTTTGTAGCGACGGAGGGTCTCCGGGACCTTATCCCAGCTATTGCCGGGGTAGGCCCGGAAGCTAAATTTTTACCGGGGGCCTCCGGCATGCCGGCCACCCGGGTGGAGCCATTGTTTGAACGCGGCGTCCCCGTGTTTCTTGTGCCCCGCCACGACTTGGTCTAGGTAGTCGTCGGTTAACCACGGTGGTTCGTTAGGGTTCTCGCCGAGGCTCGCCAAGTCGTGTCTGAACTCGGCGTGCTGCACGTTGGCAGGTTCAGACACCGCGTGTGTCTGTGGCTAGGGCGCACGGGAAGAGGCACGCTTGCCTTTCGGGCTTTCTCTTCGACCTGTCGGCCTGAGCCGATCGGGTCCGGTCGCGCAGCGGTGGCCTGTCCGTGCTGCTGCCACCTCCTCGTGTATGGGGCTGGCTCCGCCTCATCAGCCGCCTGAGCGGTCTGATCAGCTGGTCACCTGATGTCCTTCGCTTCCGTATCCAGCTGCAAGATCGCCCGATCGAGGCTGCGGTTGGCCAGCTCGAGGTCGACGTGCCAGTCCTCCTCAGTCCGTGCTCCTGATCTGAGGTCAGCAACCAGTGCGGTTATCAATGCGGACGCGGCCTCGTACTGAAGGTACTTGTGCGTCACAGCGCATATCAAACTCACATGGTCTTTGTACTTAGCCATCAGACTCGTCACGTCAGCCAGCTTGGCTGGGCTGAAAACCGAGTACACCCGGGACAGGACGAGGAAGCAAGCCTTTTGCAGGTCCTTCTCGTCCAGTCGTACACAGCGACCTTGTTGCCCTGGTCTGTCTCCAGGGAGAAGGTCTGCGGCACGTCCGTGGACGATTGGGCCGTCCCAGAGGGATCGGCTCCTGCTGTCCCCATCGAGGGATCAGCTCCTGCCGTCCCGGCAGATCCTTTAAGCAGCCTGCGCCGAGGCCTTGTCCTTCATGAACTGCGGAGCGGCCTTTGGTATCGGCTGCTGCGGCTCGGGCGCCACTGCTCCTGACTTTGGCGTAGCGCCCGGGTGCGGGTCGCTAGTTTGCATGAGCAGTCCCCTCCCTGCACACCTGTCCTTGGGCTTTATTTGTTCTTTTGATTGATTTTGTGCTTGAGTCCAAAAACGGGACAGGGCGGATTTGTACTTTATGCTTTTTGTGCTTAGGACCGGGAATTTGTACTTGGGATAGTGCATTTTGTACTTGGGATAGTGCATTGTCACAGGGAAATCCTGGTGCCGGTCTGTATTCGATGTGCATCGATTTTTTCAGATATATGTCACCCCAGATTCTGTGCAGAGGTCCCGCCACTGTGGAGTGCGGGATGCGATTCGAAAAAATGAAAGAAAGGAGAAACAGGGACAGAGAAAGAGAGAGCGAAAAACAAAAAAAAACATGAGTTCTTACATATATATATATATGTATA